AAATCATAAATGTCTGCAATAATTACTATACATTAAGTGTATTTCTTTTTGAAAAATTACATTTATTGCCATATTTAAAAAAGAAAATAGATGTTATCTTTTGGAGTCTGACTAGTGTTTATTGTGAACAAAAAATAAACACATATTCATAAAGTTTGATAACCCTTGATTAAATTACAGTGGTTTGGTAGATAGGTTAAAAACTCTTCCCCTCCCAGAAGAAAACAGTGAAAAAATTATTATAGGTTGGTAGAAAAACTGCTTTGATAAGAACATTACACTTAAACATGAGTATAAGATTAAAAAAAAATGTTCTTAGTTTGTATAAAATTAAAATTATTGTATATACTTGTTTTATTTCCTAACCTTAAATATTGTAAAATTATTTTAGGTACTAACAAAGTTGAATATATCTCTTAAAAATATTAAAGTACTTAATTCATTAGTAGGACTTTAAGGTGAAATTGAATATGAAATCCTTATCCCTTTCTCTATAGGTCAGCCAGTAGCACAGAGTAGGCCTGCAATGAAGGTAACACTAGAAACATCTCAAGAGGTAACATCAGTAACATGGGCACAACAGCAGGTAACCAGCAGTGAAGTAAACCAGAAAGCCACTGTGAAGAATGATCCAGCAAAAGGTTGTTTAACATTTTTCAGTTATAACTAGAATACATTTTAATCTGGCTTAATAGGATGCTGGATCTTTCTTATAAACAATCATAAAAGTTTATTATAATTGATAATTTGTAGTAATTTTAAGTGCTTAAACTGGTGAAGCAGTAAGGTTTCTAGGCCTAACAAAAGTGATTAAAATCATTCTTGGGCAGTTATTAACGGTGGACAAAAGATAGTTCTGAAATGCATCCTTTATAATGTATTTGATTTGAAATATGTGGTGGGATAATCAAGAAGATTATTGTAAAGATACCTTCAATCAGGTGTGATTTTAATTACTTTCTTAAAAATGAATTATTAATATTACTTTGGTAATAATTAACTAGAGTATTAAAATTAATGTTTTTTTTATACTGTAGCTATCTTCATTAAAAAAAAAAGGTGACTAGTAATAATAATAGCAGTAGTTTTAGCTTTAATACTGATAGTTTTGTTCAGTTTGAGTTCTGGCATCAGAGTTTATTCTGTGCAAAAAAATTTAATCAAATTCACTCTGGTTTGCAAAAATTTCTAGTTATATTAAAAATTATTAAGACTTAATTGTTCTTACTTTCTGGACCTCCTTTATCTCTGGGACACTAACTTCCTACCAGTTTGGACATTTTTTTCATAATTCAAAAAGCTTCTAGATGAATGCTTGAGCACCACTAACAAAATTAGCCTTTTATTTTCATTTTTGTTTAGTACATTGATTTGATTATATTGAGACAGGCCTAGAAGACATGATGATGGCTTGTTCAGATCTCTCAAAACCTCAACAGCCAAAACCATTCCAGAAACTTGCTGTTAATGATATAAGACAGAGCAGCCATCAGAAGACTTCATGTTTCACAGATAGCCAGAAAGCAAGAAACTGGAAAAATATTCAGGATTTGGATGAATTTGGCCAAATT